TCGGTGATTTGGAGAGATAGCGGAGGAGGAATGCTCTTTGACCCCGAGAGAGGCTCGGTAGGGGGTTCGACTCCCCCAGGGTTGTGCGAGTTGAGATTTCAATAATTTTAGTATCAGGAAATTCGAAGGGAATACTTTGGAACCTCGAAATGGTAGCTTCATGATGTTGATGTTGGTGGAGGGGGGGTTGAAGGATACTGATATCTTTGATCGACTGTGCTCGGGTAACTAGAGATGCAGGCACTGAGGAGGAACCCCTTTGCTCCTCACGTTCCCTGCCATAGAGTCGTTTCCAGCGATCTGACGTTGGGAGGTTTCAGGTACGATGAGGGATTGAGTACTGTGTCATGAAGGGAACTATGGCAGTGGAGAGATAGGAAGCTCCTCGGCGAAAGTGAAGAAGAAGCGAACCATGCTAATGGTGCAACAAGGGGAAGGATGTTTGGGGAGATGTCTTTTGAATGTTGAAGCAGGAAGAGGGAGTCAAGTTCAATGGGGATCGAATCTGTGTCGAGGTGAATATAGAACCCGTTCTGCTCCTCTAACGTTGCTCCAGTGCGTGTACGAGTTCCCGACAAGGGAGGACGAAGGTGTTACAAGAGCTGAGAAAATCAAGAAACAAGTTGGTGCGATGAGGAAAAGATAGAGGTGGGATGCAGGAGGGGAACGTTCCGCGAAGTAGGGGAGTAGCTCTGCATGTCACGAACTTAGAGATGAGGAGAAGGAGTCGAGTTGAACGTGTACATTAGTTCGGAATCAAAAGTGAGTTTATCAGTTGCAGAGACGGCAAAAATAAATTTCATTCTGCCTCCGATGTGACACAAAGAATATCTAAAGTACAGGATGAGAGGCATCTGAAAGAAGCAGGGCAAGCTTGTCTAACTTCCACGCCTGCACGAGCAGAAGACGATGAGAACATGGCGAGGAAGAAGGAGGACGAGGACGAGGACGAGGACGAGGACGAGGACGAGGACAAGGAAGACAAGGACAAGGACAAGGTCAGAAGGACAAGAGAGAGAGTCTCACATCAGCTGTGCGAGAGAGGAGAGAGCTTCTGGCCTGGTATTCCAGTCAAAGAACTGCAGAGAAAGAAGAGGAGCAGAGAAAGGTACAAGACTGGGAATGAGATCCAAGGATCAGCCAAGCACTCACAGCCTCGATGGCTAGTTTCCCGCCGTTCCCTTGAAGCTCTTCAAGAAGTAGCTGCTGCAGCGTGAGAAGAAGTAGAGGAAGGAGGATGCGAGGACGGTGGCCAGAGGAGGTGGTGGTCGGGAGAAAATAGAACAGAGGAGGAGGACAGGAGGACAGGAGGACAGGAGGACAGAGGAGTCAGCGCTGACCTTCTCCTCCTCAGAGCCAGACAGAAAGAGATCGATCACCTCCTTCTGTAAGGGAAGTCAGGATGTGGAAGGCGTGAAGAGAGAAGAGAGAAGAGAGAAGAGGGAAGAGGGAAGAGGGAAGAGGGAAGAGGGAAGAGGGAAGAGGGAAGAGCGTCGTAGGAGAGATGAGAAGAGAGGAAAGTTTGTTGCGGGAGGTAGGAGGGGGAACATGAGCCAAAATGCGATACAATGAAAAGAGAAGAACGATAGAAAGGAGGCAGCATTAAGAACGAAGTGCAAAACCATCAGGAGGAGTGGAAGTCAAACGAAGAGACTACAAGACTCACAAAAGATTGATTGAAGAGGAGCAGGAGGATTAGGAGCGCAGAGGAAGACGCAGAGGAGTGAAAAGGAGGAGGAGGAGGAGGAGGAGGAGGAGGAAGAGGAGGAGGAGGAGGAGGAGGAGGAGGAGGAGGAGAAACCTGTACAGCATGGGTGCCGGTGTACATGACGCGACAAAGGAGGTCCACACCCCGACAGCTGACAAGCCTCTTCCAGTTGTCATGCTGGAAGGGATCATGTAAGATCTGAGGATGGACAGGAGGAGGAGGTAGAGAAAATGAGGAGGTGGAAGAGGCTGGAGAGGAGGAGAAGAGCAGCAGCAGATGAAGCAGGAAGCGGAGGGAGCTCAGATTGGATTCTTCAAGAGGTGGGAAACTCAAGGAAGCGAATAGAAGCGAAACGAGGAGATGAGAAGAGGATACCGAAGATTTGCAGACGAGCCGCAGGACATTGATACAAGCTTCCTGCAGGTCATTGATGAGGGAGGCAAGCGAGGAGGGAGGAGGAGGGAGGAGGGAGGAGGGTGGGGGGTGGGGGGAATGGATGAAGATAATCGGAGGGAGCAGGAGGAGGTGGAGAGGTGGGAAGCAACCTGCAGGGAAGCAGGCGAGGTCTTGACGACTTCCAAGACAAGTGCAATCCCCCCAGATTCACCGAAAGCCAACTTGCGAGGACATGAGAAAGGACGGCGAGCATAACAGAAGAGGAGCAGGGGGATGATGGAAAGCCGGGAAAAGGACGGGGAAGAGCAGACCTGATTGAGTTTGTGGTCCTGGCATGACATCTTGATGAAGCAGATAACAAGTGTCTGAGGTTTTCTCAGTTCACTCTCCCACTCCCGCTACCCTCAACCTTCATCGCTGAATTTCCTAACCTCAACAGCCTGATTGAGATCGCAATACCGTTCGCCTCCCGCACGGCATCCTGGGCGTTCCTGCATGCGACTCTCGTCATCTTTGTTCCCTCCTCCTCAGCGTGTTACTTGCAAGTCTTGTCGTCCGACGAGAAGCATGTCGTCAGCGCCTCAAGCGCAGACTCCTGGAACATCGTCACCCGAGCCGAACGAACCCTCACCTCGAGTCGCTCACATGGCTCCAGATGTCTCCGTCACGCAATCTCTCTATCAGCAAAGCGATTCCTCCATACGACAAGAACCTCTTCTTGTTCAACTCGTTCCTGCCGTCAGAAGTCAAAACCATCGTGATCATCATCGTCTTCTTCTTCTCTTACTGCTCACAGAGGATGCAAAGAAGTTTACAAGACAGCTCCATCGCTTCTTGCTCCCTGCTATGCAACCCATCTTTCCTTCTCCTCATTCGGAGTACATCAAGACTTCGTTGCACAGCTCCTAGGTCCCCTAGAAAAGTCTGCATGCCTCGCTTCACAGTGACGAGGAGAAGGAGGGCGCGGAGAACGTGGAAGGTCAAGGTCTCTCCTCCTCTCACTCCTTTGATTGCAAGAAGATCTACCAGCAGCTGAGAAATGCTTTCCTCCCTCCCTGCTCACCTACGTCAAACGTTGGCACAGATCCATCGAGGAGTACCCGGAAGGCAGGAGCATGAGGGAGTCATGGACGAGGAGGAGGAGCGAGATGAGGGAGGGGACGGTGAAGCTGACTCTTTCATCGCTTCCTCCATCATGCAAAGGCTGTCGACAGAAAGATTCAACAGGTCTTGGGTGAAGGTCTTCGAGGAGAGGAGGAGGCGAAGTTGAGCCATGGCGGAGAGGAAGTGGTCCTCGTCCACAGCTGCGGCGCTTCCTTCTCCCCTCCTCATCAAGTTCCAATCCCATGGCGAGCAGCCGGCGTCATGTCCCAAGAGATGCTGGAGGGAGGACACGATGTCTTCCAGCCTCCCTCCCTCCCCCTCTCCAGCGTCTCTCGCTAATGTCTCGTCCCCATTTCGACCCTCTTCCCTGCTCCACCATGGCGAAAACTTGGCGATCCCCGCACTCCTAAGCTCCTTCATGGCCCTGCTGAGATTCGAAGAGCCCAAGCTTGGGAGACGCGTCTGAACGAATTCAGGAATCCAGCTTGGCGCCTTCTGACAGTCTCCCTCCTCTCCCTCCCACTTCCCTTCCCTTCTCCTCGCTCCCTGTCCTCCATTCTTCTCGTTCAGTCTCAAAGCCTCAGCCCTCTTTCCCTTCCTATCAAGCTCCTCCTCTGCCAGCTCCGCCAGCTTCTCCCTCAATCTCACTGTGATGCCGATAGCCTTCTGCTTGACTCCCTCCAACTCTGCCAGCCGCGTCCTGAGTTCAAGATTCTCGATTGCAACGTGCTGGAGCAGGATCGAGTCCTCCTCACCTATCTCCTCGTTCCTCTCCACGGACTCCTCTATCCCCCTCATCCTCGTCTCTACATCTCTACATCTCTCCCTCTGCTGTAGGGAAGTCAAGGGAACCAATGGCCGCACCGCCACCTTCTTCATCTGCCGTTCCACGTCACATTTGTCCGACAACCATCGAAATAATTGTCGTTATCTCCATCATCATCATCATCATCATCATCATCATCATCATCATCATCATCATCATCATCATCATCATCATAGTCATCATCATTGTCATCGTCATTGTCATCGTCATTGTCATCATCATCAACTCCATCATATCATCGTCGTCGTCGTCGTCAACTGCTTCATCATCATAGTCATAATCAACAACTCCATCATCATCATAACCACAAAAGTATCGCTTGCCACTCACTTTCTGTCGAAGGAGGACAAGTTCGCGTTCAAGGTTCTCTTCCCACTGCCTGACGGCCGGCAACTGGACAGGAGTCAACTCTCTTCACTTCTCACAGTCACGTCAAGACACCATGTCGACAATCTCCTCATACTCTCGGATGTTCTTGCGGAGCTCGTGAACTAATCAAGAATTCAGTACTTGAGATACAAAAATGATCCTCCGTCTTACAACCCCCTTCCCTGCCTCCTCCTCTCTCCCCTCCTCAACCATCGCTCCCTGCTCCTTCATCTTCCATCTCCAACCCCCTTCTTTTCCCCTGCATTCTCCAACAACAACAAACATTCTCCTTCCTCCCGATCCACCATCGCCCCCCCCTCCCCCCCTCCTCCACCTCCCCCCGCTCCTCAACCTCTCTCTTGAAGCAGCATGAAATTTTCTTTCCCAATCTGCAAGGACTCATCATTCTTCGAGTCAATACTGGAGGAGAATAACCTTGAGCTCTCCTCCTCCCTCCTCCTCCATTTGACCGATTCTACCAGCATCGCGGCATAGAAAAGTAAGGTAACTTCAAAGGCAAGACAAGTTCATACAGCTGCTCGTTGGTGAAAAAATGTCGCTCTCCTCCATTCTCACTGTAGTGCACAGACAAGAATCCGTGAACAAGAGGAAACAGGACTCGCAAATAACTCACATTCTGTCATGATCAAACGCGAAACTTGTGTTCTGTATCGAACGAGGAATGTCCTCTAGCACAAACTCTGCAGCTAACGACTTCTCCCCGCCTTCCTCCCTGCAGTTTAGGCTAGACCCTCCCCGAGCTGGCATAGATTCTTCGTCTTCCATGTAGTCCATCCCACTCGGCCAGCTTGAGGGCGACGCGCCACCATTATGTCTGGAGGATGAACGTGGAGGAAGAGAATGGTGGGAAGATGGGGTAGGAAGGGAGGAGAGGTGGTGATAAGGAGAAGGAGGAGGAGTGAGATGGTGAGCTGAGGCAGGAGGAGGAGGAGGACGTTTTCCTTCCCCGCCCCACTCCCCCTCCCCCTCCCCCGCCATGCCGAAAGCCTAGCTTGTTTCGCCCTGGCAAAACTTTAAAATAACAAAAAATCCTCACTGTTTTAACAATTTGATTCGAATCGAACAATTCTTTTTATTGACAGAACAATTCGATCGATTTGAATCATTATTGGGGACCCACCCCTGTGATGTCCATTTCGTTGAAGAGACAGTCTGACCCTGTACCCCCTTTTTTTTTCTGGGCCTCGTCTCTAGAACCCTTCAATCTGATCTTTTCTATGTCACTCATCTTGTAAAAACAATCAACATGATGCCAAGAGGTTTCTTACTACCCCACCATGTGACCAACATTCGTGGATCACCCCACCGTGGACAGGTAAGAGTGATAGGTTGTCAAAACATGATGGCAGGAGCCCGGAAAGGACTGAGCATGCGGACATAGTGGAGGCGTTGACAGCACCATGGAGGAGAGAAGAAGGAGAGGAGGACGAGGAGGACGAGAAGGGAAGTTCTCGCTGACGCTCCAAGGCTGAGGAGGCGCACCAGCCGCGCCAAGTCTAAAACTGGGCTTTCCTTGGTTGGGTTTTCTGCACATGGACGGGGATTTATTGTTCTGTTGAGGTGATGTTGCAATCCTCAAGAGCGCGGCAACGAGGTGAACTTATCCCGAGTTGGTGTCAATGACTGATATCTCTCAGCGCTCTCGCTCTGTTGTGTGATCTGCTCCTCACTATTTTCCACCGTTGCGGTAAATACTGCCATCTAAGACGTGGAAATCGTTGTCTTGATGACTTTCAGGGATGGCATGCTTGGGTGGAGTACAGCCCAATGCCAGATTTGAATGGGACTAATCTGTTTCCTTCTTTGAGGTACACTCGTGGTTCAATCGTGTTTCCGCTGCTGAAATATCTGCATTGCCAGACTTCCAGCTCCCTCAGAACTGGCCGACCCTTGTAAGATAGCAATCACTTCATTGCGGAAGCTGACACAAGGAGATTTATGCTGGTATGAGATGATTAAGCCTAGTCAATCTCTCTAAGCTGCATGGCAGGGCTAGTGATCAGTGCGATTTGAAATGCGCTACGGCCTTTGGTTCTCTAATAAGAGATGTCAAGAACATTTATTATACTAAGGTGTTATCGGAATCAAAGTTTCAAGACTTCTTGTTGTTAGTTGACATGAATGCACAGTGTGCAGTGTTCGACCAAGAGGCGACAAGCTACCAGAGGATCGTCTACAAGAATCGTCAGCCCTCAGATGTTCGATCCTGTGTGTCTGAAAAGCTCAACAGCCAACTACCAACAACCCTCATCCGAACAATATTCAGACACCTTCTCAAGAATATGCACCAGGTAATCAATGGGGTAGCGTCTTCTCGTCCTTGACCTTGCCTTGCAACAGGGTGTATGGATGTGCGATGGGACACTGCTCCCCATCGGCGAACGTGGTGGAGAGCGATGGCACGTCGTCATCACCTTTGGTAGTTGCGCAAGGAGGATACAAGAGGCGATGAGGCTAATGTTTCTCCCCCGCCAGTACATTAGCTTAGCTCCCAGCTCGCAAGATTGCTCCAACTTTGTCATTCCAGATGGTACGCTTCCACATGTCTCATTGACTGCTGACTCGCCGATGTAGATACAAACTCCTTGCCGTTCTTGACCTGGCACTCCCTGCACCTCTCGTATCGTCAGTACGGTAGCTAGAGAACTTAGTTTCTGCCCATCTTCACTGAGTCCTGTCTCTCTTCAAAGACAAGGGATGCTCTGGAAGTTTGGGTTCACTTGCTGACGCCGAGCATACGACTTGGTCTTGCATACATCAGCCAGGCTGCACTCGTTACATGACGTGAGGGGCTGTTGAACCTTGCTGTAAACCCATTGTAGATCTCCCTGATCGTTCATGGTGCTCAGGGATGACATGGCCTGTTTTAAGTACAGCTTCGTCAGGTTGGAAACCTCGAAATCTTGTATGTATACCCGCTGAGATTTGCTGCAGGGGTGAATTTCACTTTTGGAATTGGAATTCCGTTCTAAGACTGATGCCTCCTCTATTTCCTGTAAGGGCCCGTTGATATTGGTTTTGAAACCTTCCAACTGATCGATGAAAATGTAGATCAGTCTGAAATTCTGTAATTCAACAATGAAATCAGTCCTCTTCGACGCCATGACAGGTAATCTTCTTTAAGATTGCTAGAGACACTAAGTGTCTTTGTCTGAACAGGACAAGAATTGCCAAGGAATGGAACCGTCTTGTCGATGGAGTACGTCTTAGCTAACAATGCTGTCGAAAATATCAAGAGAGGAGCATTGAATACCATAGGTATCCGGCTGCCACGGGCCGCGGTCAATTCTCTGAGTGACTTGTGACATTTGCTCAGGATTGGACGCTTGCCAAGAGATCTTGTCGATCAAGTATCGCACGGTGAGAATGTCGCTGGAGAGAGCAGGTGAGTCCTCACATGCTGCATGTTTCGGTTGGTGTGTCAAACATGATGATCAGGTTACTACTTCTACACCAAGACATTCACCATCACAAATGTCAACAAGACGATATCAGCTGCCATGTACCCGGTCATGCAGGTATTCCTCTGCTCTGCCCTTGCTGCGGCCTTGACTCCCCGCGTGCAGACACCCACACGCAGCGGGCTCGCAGTCGGTGGCACAACCAACTGATCGTTTCCTCCTCTTTCCGCTCACTCGTCTTGCAGTGCTGGAATGGTGTGACTCTCCTTCAAACTTGGACTTGTGGCTGGTCTTCCCGTCTACCGTGTGAGTTTCGTTGAAGACCTCTGCTCTTCGTGCTGCCTGTCCTACAGTATTTCTCTGATGTGTGAACCATGTCCAGCAAGGAGTTGTATTCCTGCGCCTTCACAACAGGCAACGTCACGACGGTAGGACAAGCTGTTGGTCCCTCCCTCCTTACTAACTACTCCCAGTGGTCTGTTCCCAGCCAGAAAATCACCAGCGAATCGACGTGCGTGTCGAAAGGAGGGCAATGGAAGAAGGTGACGAGGCAGGAGGGAAACATGGCAGAGGATGATGAAGGTCCTCAGGTTTCAAGCTCAGCCTACGCGCTGCCTGATGGAGCGTACGCGCTCTACATGGGTGAAGGAGGAGGAGCTAGGTAATGTTCCCGGCATGACGAGACTGCAGATGGTCCCCGGCATGTCATATCTCCTTGTCCTGCTGCACAGAGCGGCTGCTCGCCGGGAGAGTTTCTGCTTCAGGCTGATTCACCTGTTGCCTTCGGGAGCGGTATCATCTCATTCCTTGCTCTTGCGCGTCTCAAGGAAAGCTCCAGCCTCAGTCCAGGTGAACGGCAACCTCCCGACTGGGAGCTACAGGATGTATGCGGTTGTGCGAGCTCAGAGTACCTTCGAGACGTTCCAAGGAAGCTGCGACCAGATCTACGCGACCATGTACTCGGAGACTAGCCTCGTCCGTGCTGTCTATCAAGTGCAGGTGGGGAAAAGGAGAGCCTGTTGAGGAGGGAGAGGTAGTTGGCAGGCGGGGGAGATGACGGGCGGGTTGACAGGCGGGCGCCGCAACGACGGGAGACAGTCTGAAGCGCTGGTGGCATGTGTTGAACATCAAAGTCTTCACAGACAACTTGCAGAGGAGCTGCTCCTCTCTTGAGGTTGTTGACACATTTGTGGATGGATACCTGCAGATCCCTGTCGCTCCTTTGCCCATCCTCTCATTGGGGGTCGGGTCTGTCAAGTCGACCATACCCATGTTGTGCTTTGACATGACGCAAAACATAGCGATGGAGGTAATAATCCCTACCATCTCATGCAACCCCCTCCCTCCTCTCCTCTCCTCTCCTCTCCTCTCCTCTCCTCTCCTCTCCTCTCCTCTCCTCTCCTCTCCTCTCCTCTCCTCTCCTCTCCTCTCCTCTCCTCTCCTCCTCTTCCGCATCCCCTTCCCCTCACCCTTCTCCCTCCTCTTCCCTCCGCTCCTCACCTCCACTCCTCCTTTCCAGCAGTTGAGTTGTAGTTGACCCTTTCACCTGATCAAGAAGAACCATTCCCTCTTCTCACCCTTGTCTTCACAGATGCAGCTTTTCTACTTCCGCATTCGTTCAGCCAGGGACTACGGCATCATCCAATCCTCCTCCTACGAGATCTCCGGTCCAAACTCAGTCCTCTTGTCCTCAGGGAGCTCCGACTCCGACGGGGCGGCCGGCATTCTCCTCGCCAGCGGCTCCTACAACATCACCCTGAGGGTCCCCCAGTACATCTCACGAACTTTCTGCTTCACCATGGACAGGAAGAAGAAGCTCCTGAACTTCTTCCTGTCTCCAGCAGATTTAAGGGGGAGGATCGTGTTCAACTGGGGTAGCCAGTACCCGGAGCTATCCTTCTTCATCTTGCCCATCGGTACCTCTAACAACTGGTATGATGTCGACAGTAATTTGCAGACGTACGCTGGTCCCTCTTCCACCCTTATCTCCGTGGCCTCGGCCAAAGCTGAGGTCGAGGCCTGTTCGCTCCACTACACCAAGAGCATCTACAACGAGACGATGGACGTCAACGAGGTCATCAACGGCTCCTGCTCGCTCTCGCTCTACAAGGCTGTGGAGGGACAGTACAGGATCTACGTCGAGATCCCTCCCATGGACTCGCGCACCCCCGTCTTCCGTCCATCTGCTCCCTCCTGCGAGAGTCTCCGGGCAGACGTCTACATCAAGGGCTCCTACGTCACCTCGGTCTCGTACCAGCTGGGGTATGCCAAGTGGTGGATGGTGGGCTACTTCTATGTGAACGCAAACTCCGATTACACGTGGATCGCCAACTCGCAGTCCATCTACAACTACAACCCGCTGACTGTGCAATACTATCCTGTCCAGCTGACGATCAAGGATGCGGTCAAGTTCTCATCCCGTACTGACTTCACCAACCTGCAGTACAAGGTCTGGCTCCTGGACAGCCAACAGGAAGCAGCTTGTCAGAGCTCCAGCATCTGTGGGAAGACGTGTCAGGAGCTGTTCGAGATGTACGGGAGGGACATGTGCCAGCTCTCCTACCAGCAGGTCGCTCAGAAGCTCGACAACGTCAGCTGTGACTCGCTGCCTGCTCAAGGCCTCGTGCGGGACCGATGTACCACCCTGTGCTCATTCAAGCCTTGCTCGAGCGATCGGGTGGTTGCTGTCGGGACTGCTGGTCTGGACAAAAGGCCGTGCAACCCGTCGTCCGCTGTCCAGTCTTGCCCCGACTCTGTCTGGACTCAGTTCACCTCCTCGTTCATCTACCTCCCAGCTGGTTCCTACGACGGACTCTTCACGATCGCGGGCTACGTCGATCGCAATCTCTTCTTCTCAGTAACAGACAGCAGCCTGCAGCTGGTTGTCGTCATGGTGCCTCTCCCAGCGCCTCACACCCTCCGCGTCGTCCTCACGTGGGGAGCGACTCCTCTCGACCTTGACCTGTGGGTCATTGCCAACGATGGAGGAGACCCGGCTACAGGAGGGATCGTGTACTGGGACGACAAGGGGCCCAACCGTGGAATTCAGTTGGACGTTGACGCGGTATCGGGGTTCGGGCCAGAGACGATCACGTTCGGGCTCGGGGCGCAGGAGGGGATCTACAAGGTGGCAGTGAACGTCTACATCAACAGGGGGGAAACCTTCCAGCAGTTCAAGGGGAACGAGACGGTGGAATTCTATGACAGCAGCGGGCTGATTCTCCGCTCCATCATGCCCGTGCGGGTCAGGAGGAGCTCCTGGTGGCTTGTGGGCCTCGTGGAGGTGAAGAACGTCTCGAGCTGGCCTACCTACACCATCAACACAACTTCTCATGTGAGTCGAGCTAACGCTTGCCATGTAACGAGCTGACGGGGGTACTGCAGAACTACTTGACGACCTGTGGGCAACTGCGAACTGCAGCAGGGCAGACGACTTGCAAGGGAACATACTGTTGTAGCGTCTGTGCTAGCAACTGCGGGAATTGCAATTGTCCTTAAAAAAGTTGAAAGACCAATTAAACCCGTTCATAAACAGTGATGACAACTAACCGTACCGGGTACGGTACTGGTAGTCAACAGGGACTATCAAGAGAGTCGAGGGGGCTTGACCCTCTGACTACAGTCCGTCGTACAGGCCCGGGGCCGCGGCGGCGAGTGAGCAACTCACAGTCTGGACTGAGCAGAGCAGCACGCTGGGTGGCACGGTGATCTACGGCTACAAAATCATTGGAGGAACTAGGATTTTGGCCGCCATGCCGGCCCGGGGAGGAAGGGGATGGATGGTGGTGAAGCTGCTGCAGCGAGCAGGTGATCATGATCGACAGCTGTCTCTCCTCCTCTCCTCCTTCTGTGCCTCCTACTTGGATTGATCTGAAATGGAATGATGATCTCTCCAGCTATCGCTACGGTCTGGATGTTCCAGATTCAAGCCGCCCCGACAGTCTTGAAGAGTCTTGGTACTTTCGTCGATGAACGACTATCGTCTTGATGAGAGCTCGCAGGAAAGTCGCCCTTGCTTCGCATCAGGGGTGGCTGCCAGCCATCCGACTCCCTGTTCATAAGTGTCGATGGTGGAACAGAGTCCATTCGTGCAGCGGTGGATCATGAACTCCCCAACTTATCTCCCCTCATTCAAATTTCTCACAGATGTTCGACGTCAAGGGCAACATGTTGGGACAATTTGCGGCTCCATACGAGACTCGGCATCCACATCCAGGATGGGCAGAACAGGATCCAGACGAGTGGTGGCAGAGCATGGGTAAAGCAGGTATCTGATTTCATCAGAGTTTTATGACCTCACATTGAGCTTGTTTAAGTGCGAGGATTGATCAAACAGACGGATCAAGTTCATAAGAATGTGAACATGAGGGTCAAAGCATTGTGTGTGGATACAACTTGCTGCACAGTGGTAGCTTTGGATGATCACAAGAAACCCTTGCGACCAGCATTGCTTTGGATGGACTGCAGAGCTGCAGAGCAGGCATCTGAAATTCTGTCGAGATGTAAGGATTATGAGAAGGAGAATGGAATCACCAAGAGCCTGATAGCTGTCAACTGTGATGGCAATGGTCCTATCAGTGCTGAGTGGATGCTTCCCAAGGCCCTCTGGATCAAAGCGAAGGAGCCGGAGGTCTGGAAGAAGAGTTCTACTATATGCGAGTATCAAGACTTCATCAACCTCAAGCTCACCGGGACACTCTGTGTCTCAAGTTGCAATGCTGCGGCAAGGTGGCATTGGAACGGACGAGAAGCAGTCGAGAAGGCTGATGGAACAGGGGGGAGACCTCTAGAGCTGCTGCGAGCCATAGACCTTGAAGACTTGCAAGGTATTCTCTGCGTGGAAATGAATGCTGATCGTGTGACCAAGACATCCAGAGAAATGGCCGACAAGATGTCTTGCAATGGGGCAAGTGATAGGAAAGATCACTAAAGCAGCTGCAGACCACTTGCAACTGGCCGAGCACGTCGGTTGGCCTCGAAGCATGCTATAGCCTGTGCTGACGAGCCTTCAGATATCGTGCAGGGCGGCCCAGACGCTTTTGTGGGGATGGTGGGATTGGGGTGTGTCGCTCCTGGTCTCCTGGGGCTCATCACTGGATCCAGCCACCTGCACGTGGCGGTGACGTCGGAGGCGAGGACAGCGAAGAACATGTGGTGAGTAAGACTGGGAAGAGGATGGCGCGTCTGAGGGCCTAAGCAGGGGTGCGTATGTCGGAGCTCCCCTTCCTGGCCTGTGCTTTGTGGAGGGAGGGCAGTCGAGCACGGGGAGCGTGATGAGGTGGTCAAAGTCCCTGATCTCCGGCAAGGATGAGGAAGGTATACAAGGCGATGAGCTGGAGGGCAGCTGAGAATGACTCGCTGGTAGGCATGGAGTACAAGGACTACGACCTGATGGCTGCAAACGTCAGCGTCGGTTGCGATGGCCTGGTCTCGTCTTTGACAAGTTCAACAGACTGATGTCTGACAGTCTGACAGGTTGCGCTGGAGACCTTTCAAGGTTCGTCGCTGGACTCCAGGATTCGCCCATAATGAGCATGCAGGAAGTCGAACTCCAACGACTGACCCGACAGCCCGCGGAGCTCTCGTGGGCCTGACGCTCAGTCACAGGAAAGTGAAGTAGATTGATCCAGGAGAAGAGATTGCAAGGGGAGGGGAGGGCAGAGGAGGCAAGAGAGAGGTGGTGAGAATGCCTAGAACAAGAGTGAAATAGTTCATAGGAAGCAGCACGTGTGGCGAGCTTTCCTTGAGTCCGTCTGCTATGGCACTCGAGCTTGCATCGACGGCTTGTCCTCAGCTGGGGTAGAGTTCCGGTAGCCAGGAGCCGTTGCTCTGAAGTTGCTCAGACTGAGACAGGGAGATCAAGATGGCGGGAGGAGTGACGAGAAGCCAACTGTGGCTGCAGATGCATGCGGATGTGACTGGTCTACCTGTGGTCTCCCCCCTCCTCCTCCTGCCTTTCAAACGTGCTTGACAAGCTTGCAGGTGGTTGGAGAGTGTCCCGATGGACCTCTGCTGGGCTGCGCAATCCTCGCTGCCGTTGCTACCGGTGAAGAGAGCAGGGAAGAGAAGATTTGCAACCTGAGATTGGGGGGCAGGATACCACGGAGGGAGTGTAGAAAGGGCTGTGGAGGAGATGGTGAGGAACAAGAAAGTTGTCCAACCAAACATGGCGATGCATGCGGAGTACGACAAGATCTACAAGAGAAGTTACCTGCCACTAGCGCCAGCGATCAGAACGATGAAGGCGACAAGGACTCCCGAAGTTGTCAAACGTCCTCAACAGCGTCAAAACTTTAAGATCTGCCCCTCACTGCTGGCTTGCGATTGGTGAGCAGATAGGGCGGGGTTCGAGGAGGAATCTGATTGAGATTAGGGCTGACATCGCCAACGCAATCAAGCAGTGCGAGGAAGCAGGCGAAGAGTGGATCCATCTCGGTTTCTCTTGATCTTCTCGTCATCTCATCAGTCACGTGTGGTCAGACATGTTCGACGGCGTGCAGCTTAACGATCCTGGTGCTCTCACCTTCGGCCCACAGATGGTTCAGGCCATCCGCAGGTTCTCTTCTGCTGTGTTGCTTGCGTGATCGTGATCGTACGGCAGGAGAACAAGTCTCAAGCTCGACGTTCATCTCGTAGTTGATCGTCCGAGTCGTTACATTCAAGCTCTCGCTAAGGTAGCAACCTCAATCTTCGCTTTCTCTTGACATCATCATTGACCGCACGCTCTCGCTGCCAGGCTGGGGCCGACCGAGTGATTCTTCAGCTGGAGAGCTTGAGTGGAGTTGACCATGATCGCCTGAAGGAGGCTGTCGAGCAATGCCAAGGTAGCCGAGCAGAGAAGATGCCGCGCTCGCTCATCCGCTTCTCACAGAGGTCAAGCGAGCCGGAATGAGATGTGGCGTCTGCATCGCTCCCTCCACCCCCTGCTCGCAGGTCTTGGAGCTCGTGAGCATGGGCTGCGGTAGTTCAGCTTGTTGTCTTCCTCCTCTGACTGTGCTGCCCAGTCGATGTTGTCAACCTTCTAGCGGTCGAGCCAGGTCTTTCCATGCTGCTACTCACCCGTTGAGACTGACAAGAGTCCAGGGTTCGGAGGACAGAAGTTTCAAGTTTCTGTTAAGGAGAAGATTCAACAGCTGAGGTCCTTCATCGATGAGCACCGCATCCCCGACCTGGTGAGAGAGGGAGAGCTCTGCCTTGCTGTTGCCGGCAACAAGGAGCTGAGATTTGACAACAGGAGATAATGGTCGACGGAGGCATCAACACTCAGACCGCAAGGCTCTGCCTTGAAGCAGGTGAGTCAGATCCACAGGCAGAAGGTGTCTGAGCTTGAGCAGGTGCCTCTTCGCTTGTTGCGGGTTCGTTTGTCTTCAATCACAAGCTTGGAGTGCTGCAGGCCCTGGAGGAAATCAGGTGATTTCCGTTGAAACTGTCATTGAATGATTGGCTGAGAAATGGATGAAGGGCATCTGCTGGAGTTGAATAGCCGCTCCTTGCTCGTCAGGAAATCCTATCAGCCGGATGCGAGATACAAGTCGATAGTCTTTGCCGTGAGGAAAGTCTCATCGGAGATTTCTCCTGCCTCCCACAAGCGAGTGACCTCCTCCTGCTCGGGCTGTCCAACGTGAAGAAATCATTCGGAGCTACGCAAAAGCATGAGACTGACCTTCTCTGCTGTATCCCACGATCGATCAAAGTTAAAGCTCGTCCCCCTGCCTGCAGGTGCTTCTGCTCCTGACAGCAACGACAGGAGGGCAGAAACTTTCTCAACCTGTTCGGTTCCATCAAGTCAACCAGGAGGAGATCATAGCTCACCTCGCTAGCCTTCTCGCCGATCTGTAGATCTCCTTGCATGCTGTTCTCCGCTTCGATGACATGAGAACATGCATCCCACTGTGAGTTGATGAGCGACCCGTCTTTCTCTAGCTTAGCTTGATACTCTTCTGTGCATCTCTGACAGCCGTTGACGAAGTATAATTGAGATATCATCGCCTCGTGCTCTCGCAGCTCGTTGTCATGCTCTCGCAGCTCGTTGTCATGCTCTCCCCATGCTTCTTCAAACTGAGATTCGTTGAACCGTTTCCGAGGTGGAAATGAACCAATGCAGGGACGGAGAATCTCCAGGTCATCGTTTGGCTCCATAACAGATTGCGGAATATTGTATGCTTCGTCGATGTGAATAGGCATGCTACAATACTTGGTGTCCAACCTCGGATGTCGACAAGCTCTGGCCACACGAACAGCTGCTGTCTGCCCCTGATATAGCTCGACCAGCGTCATGGCTGCATCCAACGCTGTTCCTCCTCCCTGTGACGTCACAACATTCTCATCTGCTTTGACCGCTACATCTTCTTCCAGATCGGGGAGTTGCTCTCTCAGATCCGGAGGAGCCGTGTACTGCCGTCCGTAGAGGATGCCGGAATTTTTAAGCGTAATTACTCCACTTCCAAGAGAGCAGCAGATGCCTTTACGATCATACTGGCAGCGGACAAGCACTCTAACCCGCTCGTCTCTCGACATGGTCAAAGTATAGTTCTTGTTTCCACCGGGGATCACAACCCCCAGGAAGTCCAGAGGTTTGTCGACATCAGACAGGATGGTGTCAGCTCGGAAGGTCAAGCTCTGTTTGCCCCGGATCGTTCGATTACCTTCGATTGAAGCGGTCACAACTTCAATGTTGGCTTCCTTTAGAGCCGTGACAAAACTGACCACGTCCAGTTCTTCTACTCCATTCCCCACAAGGACGAGCGCTCCACGATCCAGTCGCGTGCTCCTCAGTTCTTCTTCTTTGTCTTGTTCAAGTATTCGCTGGAATTCATAATCGGGGTAATCCTTTGCGGCCTTTGCATACATGTCTTTCAGCATTTGCTTATCGTTATCCTCCAACTCATCCGTCTCCTCAAAGTCATAGATATGGGTGTCATGAAGCCTCTTCTCCTCATCATTGTGACTATCTTGTCTGTCACGCATCGTCCTTCCTCCTTTCTCACTCATGCATGTCTGATCATTCCTAGCCCTTTTCCGCTCGTTCCCGAGCATGATGTCATCATTATATCCACCTCTGAGGTTCTCTCTCAGACGACAGAGACGGCTCAAGCCAACATCGAGGGCAAGATTATCTCTCGTCCTACCGAGAGGCATCAGTTCCATCTCAACTTGTGTCCAGTACAGTGCTAGCAACCCCGCTAGCAGCTTTGTGCCAGCCATGACCAGCAATGGACGCAATCCTCGTCCCCGCTCATACCCACCCAGTTAAACAACGCCCCGCACCTGAACTCGGAACCGCGGCCCCGCAGAACGCCCCGGCGGCTGACGCCCCGCCGTGACCGGACCGGCCCGGCCCGGCCGCCGGCAGCTGACAGATGCTCTGACTGGTACTCTGACCGAGTACTGCAGACTCAGCTGACTGCAGAGACCCTGGCAGAGACCGTGGGAGGGCGGCAGTACGGCGGCTGGCTGCCAATAAACAAGGCGCCGGCCGTGTTTACTTCGTAGGAAGGAGTAATCGTTGGGAGCGGCCGTGCACCCAAAGTTTTCCTATTTATACCGTACCGTCGAAGAAGAGCCACAAGATTATGTCGCATTCGTGTGACGTTGGCATTCAATAGTAAATGATATTATAATAGTCATTCAGCAACCAAGTTGGGTGCCAGTAGTTTAATAAATTCACGTAAAATGATTCAGCTTCCAAATCTGCAGCTTTTGAGTCAGTCTTCAACGATCACAACTTGACTTGTCTTACCATCGTATGATTTGTCTTTATCATCATATCATATAACTTGTCTTTGTCAGGTCAGGTCACAATTGCTATTCCATCATATCATATAACTTGTCTTTGTCAGGTCACAATTGCTATTCCGACGGTTTATTGCGTGACTGAAAAAGAAAGGCAAACCGGAGCAAACAAAGGAGGACGAGGATAAAGCCTACAAACCCGCCTCAATCAAACACTAGGAAACGAAGGAGGCAGCGAAAACCGCTACTCCGCCCCGGGCCCAGCCGGCTAGTGACCCAACTATTGGAATCACAACAGAGATCAGAAGGACAGGCCACTCCTGCCGTCCTACCGACGGAACAAGAATAGGCTGCTAATATCACCCTGCACCCCCGGGTCTGGCCTTGACGAGGCAATTGACAAGGGGTAGGGTAGTTGTATTGAGTCACTTTAGGATCCTGTAATGGTCACAAGCGAGAGGAAGACAGAGAGCTCAGTGTAGGTTGCGATCCCTTGCAAGGAGCTTGTCTGCTTGTGCTCTCTTCTTCTGCCCCTCAGCCACTGCTTATAATATCCTTCGAACTGGCAAGGCGAAACGTGCAGACTTGACTCCAGTATTGCTTGACCGCTGGGTAATTCCATACTATATTTGATTAGAAGGTTTTGTCCCTTGATTGCCTTCTCTCAAAAATGGAAATTCAGAACCATACAACTGAAACCAGTGTGAAATTGGTTAATGAAGCTCTCTTAATAACTGAAGACTTGCAAACTCTGTTTGGCACCAACATACTCTCTGTGCCATTTCATCTCGATACAGCAAGATTCAGCACAAAGACTACGGTATCCACGATCTGATCAACATTACTTCCAGAGGTACTGATCTTTTCTTTTCATCAGGTTGGTTTGATGCTGAAGGGATGCACTATCGAGAACATCGTGAGTAAACATGATTGAAAAGTTATACACAACTTACGTTGCCTCCTGTAATAGGTATATGGTGGACCCGCATACGATTCCAAGGAGCTTTCACGAGGAGACAGAATCCTCATGGTTGACCACAAGCCTGTTACACAAGAGACTGCTCCAAGTGCAATCATTGGTTCTGACGTACCTGGAACATTTGTTTCATTACAGATAAGGCACCAAAACAACGTAAATCATCCTCTAGTGCTGATAAATTCCTCCTGAGATGGCCTGTGCCAGGACGTTTCTGAAGTCAAGTTGAAGAGAGTCGCATCAGAGATCATTGCTGACAGGAGAGCGATGTTTGAGATTTTTACAAACCTGAAGAATCGGGCTAAAGATGAACATCTTGCCTTTCTCATCGACGAAGCAATCTCCCTCTGGACAAAGATTCTGAAAGCATCTACTGAACATGACAGGAAAATTTCTGAGAATGTCTTAAAACTTCAGGTACAAAATTGTTTTTGTTGTGAATTTTGCCTCTAAAACAAGAACCTGCCCAGCATAAAGGCGAAATCTCCAGCAAGAGGGTGAACGAAATTTTGAATACATTGAAGCTGCATGTACAAGACACGGTATTTCTCAAACTCTTATGAAACAATAGCAATGACACTTGAGACAAGAACAGAGAATTCACAAAACCTGATCAGACAAATACAAATAAAGTCCAAATTGTGAGCCTTGATGTGTAGCTTCGATGGGTCCCTGATCTTTTTCGTTATTTTTCAACGTCTCAGATGAAATACGAGGCTCAGATAACCAGTCTTGAAAGTGAGCTAGAGGTTGCTCGCAACAAGCTCGCCGAGCTAGAGCTGCAGGAAGTAAAATTACAAGAGCAGGTTCTCCTCTTTGAATTGAACCATCGTTGCATTTCAAACTGAGTCATCGCAGATTGCCTTGCTCAAAGAACAAAATTTTGACTTACAAATGACAAAACATGGATATCAGACTACTCATGAAAATCAGAATATTTCATATCCTAAATTTGATTCAAGTTTCTTTGTATTGCAGAATCAGTGGATGGAGATTTCAGAAGACTTAGAAGAAACTCACAGAAAAGCTTACTCTTTGATAGACAATTATTTTGAAACCTTCGAGAATGCATACGATGAAAAGAAGCTTGCAAGCAAGACGGTGGTTCTGATCAAAAACGAATGAATCTTCTAATTCGTTTGAAAAAGGCTGGGCTCATTATGGATGGGTGCAATGTTCACAGCGTTATCTACGGAAGCCCTGCACATTGCGACCGAACACTGCAGATTGGTGATGTTGTGACCATGATTGATGACAAACCAGCTGGTTCCCTTTCAATCGAAAATTTGGATGCATATGAAAACGAGAACCCAGACATCGCTTTGACTCTTATTGACCATCAGGTAATGTACTGAAAAGTTCACAGGATTGTATTTCGTAAATCATTGAATATCAGGACAAGAGAGAAAAACGAACTACGTTAAAGAGAAAGGAATTTCACCATGTCAAGCAGGAATTGGTATCTTGTTTTTTCCAAATGCAATCGAAACGAGAAAAGGATTTATTCAAGTCTCACCTTGTTGCAGGAAGGCTTTATCATCAACGAGATGAATACTATGAAGATGCTACTTGATAAACTGAAAAGATTTCCTCAACTGGATTCGACTCTCAAGAATGAAACTCATCAGAGCAGGTCGATCTTTTTAGCCTTCCTGATTCTTCTTCGTCAACGTATATCATGAAGTAACATATTTCCTTGTAGTCCATCGAAATTGAAAAATGTTCTGCTTTGCATGCTTTCGCAGCTGCAAGTCGGTCACAATATATTGAATGCGGAGAAATCGAATGCAAATGAAGATTTACACGTTCAAACGCTATCGCCGAAAACGACGGTGAGCCTTAGCATCAATGACCACGAACTGCTGACAAATAATTATGCATGATTTGAAGATTGGATTGATGCTGAATGATTTCACTGTAAATCATGTGGTTGTCGGTAGTCCAGCATACTACTGCAAACATTTGAGCGTTGGGGATACAATCTTACAAGTGGACGGGAAAACATTTGATTTGCAGAGCTATCAGCAATTTCAAGATGCAGTAATTGGATCTGATGTTCCAGGAACATCGGTAGAATTAACTTTGATGAAAGGAATCGAAGAGGTGACCAATTTCATTCATTTTCTAAGATTTTCTAACTGAAACTCTGCTTGCAACAAGCAGGGCAAGTACACGGTAGAACCAGAAATAGTCGCAGTTGTGCTTCAAAGAATGGATAGAAGAGAATTGATGGATGATGCCAGATTGTTTGAAATGCTGGCAAAATTGAGAGAACTGCTCGAATCAAAGGAAGAAGAAAGAAGCTTGCTTTCTTCCACGGGACCTCAAGAAGCAACGGAATACCAACTTATCGATGGATGCATTGACACATGGAATGACCATTGCTTGAAATTATCACACCAAAAGATGGTTTTTAGGAATACTCTTGAAAATTGGAAGATACAAATGGAACAAACATTGAAACACCTGGAGAATAATGTTCGACTTTGCATTTCATGCTTGTACAACATAGAAGATGAAAATCTGTCAATTTTCAGTAGATATGTACAAAACTGGACCAACAGGAATAGAAAATACTATGTTTGGGCCTTTTTACACAAGATCACAAAAATTTCGATGCTGTCAAAGAACTATCTCAACAAAACTCGACAAAGGATCGCAAGAGGAAAACTGAATTTGTGGAAAACGATGGTTTACACACAAGTCATCAAACGACAGACTAAAACAATGTTTGAGATGAAACAGATGAAAAAAAGGTTAAGCAACTGGCAACAAAGTTTGAATGAGGAGATCCAAACGAAGAACCATATCCAACACCTGAAAAAAACATATGAAAAAAATACTCGAAATCATTGGTTTGAACAATGGAAAAGTCAAGCTCAAGCTAAGTCAGAACGAAACAGAAAACTAAAAATAGCATCCAAACATATGCACACCGTCAGAATGAGAGAAATGCAGTGGCACTGGAAGAAACGGGTAGCGGAGGGGCGGGGCTTGCGGGCCATAGCAGAGACCGCGGTAGCGAGGAGCGTGGAGATACATGTCAGCATGCGAATGCGGCAAGCCGAAAGAGAAGTCCGACGATGGAGGGAGTGGACAGGAGAGAGCAAGCGGCTGAGGTCTAGGGCAGAGAAGATCTGCAGGCGGTGGAGAGGCCAGGAGGCCGGGAGGGCGCTGGAGAGGTGGCGGGAGCAGGCGGGCCGGAGGAAGGAGGCCCTGGCGGTCCTAGGACAGGTCGCGAGGACATGGAGGACGGTCGAGGCGGCGAGGGGGCTGCGGCGGTGGCAGGCGAGCGTCGCCGGACAGCGGGAGAGGGAGGCGAAGGGGCGGAGGGCAGTGCAGCGCTGGATGCAGGGGTCGCAAGCTCGGGCGCTAGGGCGGTGGCAGGAGGAGGCGGCAAGGAGGCGGGAGGCGCGGAGGGTGGTGAGCCGAGCGGCGGCGCGGCTGAGGTACAGGGAGGTAGGGCGGGCGTGGGAGCAGTGGTCAGGGCGGGCAGCGGAGAGGCG